CTGAAGCAATAAAATAACAACAATTGTATTTCTTTTACAGGCCCTGTGTCTTGTAGACATGACTTAGAACTATCATCTCAGCCTAACCAATTATTTATATATATTTTTTATGCTCCTCAGATTTTATTTGATCGGACAAAAATATATACATAATAAAAAGGTTTACATTTATTTTGTCATCTTTATGGTGTCACCATCTTTATAGAGGCAGGAGGAACACTCCCAATATAATGTACTTAGGTCTCACTGTCTGATATCTGTGGCAGCTATATGAGCTCTGTGTAGGAGAATTTATATTATAAAATCACCGGGCACACAACTAAAACATTCCAGTCAGTGTCTGGGAGACTAATTTGGGGTCTTGGTCTACAGGTTGTGCTCCACGGATTTCATCAAAAATATTTAGGCAAAAACTTTGAAGGGGGGAATCTTTCATGATCCAAGACGTAAGTAAGACTCATATCCGTCTTCACCGGGCATTATATTTGATGTTTCATCCAACAGCTGAGATTTTGGGGGGAAGAATTCTAACATTTGCTGTTGGTTATAGTGATAGGAGACCAGCTCATGTCTTCTGCAAAAGGTTTGAGTTTTGAATCTACAATTGCAAATTTGTTTTAGAGCAGGGGTGCCCACAATTTTTTGTGTTGAGATCTACTTTTCAAATGGCGAGCTACAAGAGATCGACCAACAAAAAAAAAAAACCTCCCTCGCGCTTTCTCTCCTTGCTGTCTCTCCTCTCTCTCTCTCCTTGCTGTCTCTCCTCTCTCTCTCTCCTTGCTGTCTCTCCTCTCTCTCTCTCCTGGCTGTCATTCCTCATTTTCTATCCCCGCTCTCTCTCTCCTGTCTCACCTTGCTGTATTTTGCAAACAGTGTAGTGCAGCAGGCTGTTTAAACTAATATTCTTTGATGTAACACATAGCACTACAACCTCCAGTATCCACCAGAAAGGTGTCGGGGAGCTCGGCTCAGCAGACTCAGGCTGATAGGTAATCATGTGTGCACAGCTAAATAAATATACCAACATGGAATAAAGGGGCCGCCATTCCCCCCCTTCCTGATCTACCAGCATCAGCTCTGAGAGCTACTGCTAGATCACCATATACCTAATGGGCACCCCTGTTTTAGAGTGTCAGCATTTGAAATAATGAATTGTAATAATTTTTTTTTTCCAAAAGATATTGTTATTAATTTTTCCCAGTTCCACGAAAAACAATAAACACACAAAAGACAAGAAACAAAAACAATTCACTCAGCCTAATAAAAAGGCAATACATGCAATGACTCCTTCATATCATTATATCCACATATATATTATCATATATCATGAAGACATTTCACAATCTAATCGTTGAGGGTTTTACTTAGCAGATGAGAACCTTAGTACTTTCCCCCTACCTTTTTCCCCTTCTACTTCCCTTCTTCCTTTTCTTCACCTCCTCACTTCCCTGTGTCCCCTATAGATATCTAAGGATCTCTGATGTACAAAGATAATCCCTCCGTGGTCTCCACCTCTCTATAAACAATGTATGTCTGTCGTATAGCCGGGCTGTGAGCTCTTCAAGTCGCATAATGTTATTTAATTCCACTACCCATTCCGAGACCTGAGGGGGGCTAGTTGACTTGCAATGTCTTGGTATTACTGTCCTTGCGGCTGCCAGGTATCGGACCCAAAAGTCCTTTTTTCAAAACAGAGATCGAACCACGGTGTAGTGACAACAGAGTGACCTCAGGTGTCTCTAATCTACGTAGCCCAGCTAGCTGTTGTGCCACCTCCAGGATTGATTTCCAGTATATTCTTATCAACTGGCAAGACCACCAGATATGCAACATCGTCCCCTCTTCTCTAGTGCACCTCCAACACAACTTGGAATTTTTAGGGTTCATTTTATTTAGATTAAATGGGCATCTATATCATCTTGTTAGTACCTTAACATTTCTCTCCTGGATTGCAATAAGTTACCTTATTCTGTGAATTTGAGCAAAAAGTGAATTATTTAATATTAATCTACATATTTTCCTTTTTTTTTTTTACAGTAAATAAAAGTGAGTTATATTGTTACAATGAGGAATCAGACAATTCTGAATGAATTATTCCTCTCTGGACTGTCCGATATTCCGGCTCTTCAGATCCCTCTCTTCCTCTTCTTCCTTCTCATCTACCTTCTGACAATAACATGGAATTTGCTGATCATCTCCCTCATAGTCACTGACTCTCACCTCCATACCCCTATGTATTTCTTCCTCGGGAACCTGGCTGGTTTGGACCTCTGTTGTTCCTCAGTCATCATCCCACGAATGTTATTTGACCTTCACACCCAGAGCAGAAAGATTACCATAGCAGCTTGTATATCCCAAGTCTTCTTCTTTATATTTTTTGCCCCCTCTGAGATTTTTCTGTTGGCTGTCATGTCCTATGATCGATATACAGCGATTTGTCAGCCATTACATTACATACGGATCATGAGTTGGAAAGTGTGTGTACGCTTGGTGTTCGTTGTGTGGTGTCTCAGTTTTGTCTATTCTTTAGTCCACACACTTTATGTCTCTAAATTAACATTTTGTGAATCAGATATTATAGAAAGTTTCTTCTGTGATCTTCCTCAGTTGTTTCAGATCTCCTGCAGTGACATCTACATCAACATTCAGCTCATCTTTTTCTTGGGTGGCTTTGTTGCAGTTGGGTGCCTACTAACGACCTTCCTGCCCTATGTCTATATATTCAGAACTGTCCTAAATATAAAAGTTAAGGGCAAAAGAAGTAAAGTTTTCTCTACGTGTACCTCTCATCTCACAATAGTGTTTATATTTTATGGCTCTTGTCTCTTTAATTATTTTCTGCCAAATGCTCGTCATCAGTTTGCCGTTCACAAAGTGGTGTCCATGTTTTACAGCGTGATACTTCCTCTCCTCAACCCCCTGATTTACAGTCTGAGGAACCAGGATTTCAGAGCAGCATTTCAAAATGTTTTAAGGAACACCATCCCCAATGCAATATAGAATTCAGCTAAACACAACCCTTATATCTAGATATTGAACATGTGTAACATTACTTTTCCAATTTACAACATTCAGTGAGTAGCTATTAACTAGAAGGTCACCAGTGAACATATCGGATATTTAAAAGTATAAAACAAGAGGGAAGGTGCTGCTTAGAGTATATTGTAGGGAAGCAATTGATATGATATGTTGTGGTATTGCTCACCTAATTGCATGGCTGACTTACACATATGTGCAGTACAGCTATCAGCCGCCTACTCTCTGCTTGTTCATAGTGATTCATCCCAGACGCACTGATCCCGCGGTGTAACGAGTCCCGAGGGGTCAGAACTCTCCGGTCTCTCCAATTTTGCTTTCCACGGTGGAACGCAGAAGCCGCTCGACTTCCTGATTGTGGAGCGAGCGGCCTGCGTTCCACGGTGGAACGCGGAAGCCGTTCGTTCCGGCGGCTGGCTCCTTCCCACGTCCTTGGGCTATTTAAAGCCCCAGCTGAGGCAGAATGGCGTTCCACTATTGGAGTCAGAACTCCTGCCACCCGAACCGAACCTCAGAGACCTTCAGGACTGCCCGGAAAGGACCCCTATTGCTCAACCTGTGGACCTGCACCTTGCACCTCTAACTAGTCACCAAAATGCAAGTACTCTGCTGTGGGAGCCTTAAACTGAGTCTCTGCTTGTGTATACTGCAGACTGTCTTTCATTACCACTGAACTGTTGCTCTTGGGGGGAATCCTCTGGCATACCCGTATCTAAGTGGCAACCCACTTCCTAGAAACGTGCAACCTCTACCTGCTGTTTTCAGTCCATTACTAGTAATATGCTCAGATTCTATGACCCTTCGTTTCTCCCAGTATCTCCATTCCGCTTTGTATGAGGGGTGACACACATACTCTACTAGCTCTACCTCTGGACTCCATGAATCCCTCCCTCGGGCCCCGAATGGATTTTGACCGACTATTGACCTACCTCCATTCTACACCTTAGACCTTTTCCCACCATCAGCGGCCTTAGCACTTCCCCGTTAAACTGTGAGAACATGTACAACTTACACTCCTACAGCAAATGATCTGGTTAACATTCTAATAGTATTCAGGTTCGAGCTTTAGTCCTTGCTGTATTAATAGTACGTCTTCGTTTTAAGAATTGATTAGTGGACTAAATGGTATTTTCTTTTGATATTTTTCCTTTTATTTCTGTTTGATACATTTGCCTCAGAGGTGATATCTATATCTATTCTAGTATCCCGCTTCCAGTCAATGTATGGTGAGGATGGCTTCACTACTATGGATATCTTCCTCCTTCTGTCATGTATCAGTGGTCTTCTTTTGATTGTTTGCAATTCGGTTTTGTATGACACTGTTATTGTGACCCTGCGCACTAACTTTCAATAAAACTTATTGCTAAAATAAGTGTCTGCTTTTCTCGAAAGAGTCAACTCTTTATTGACCAGGTAAATGGCATGCTACTGGTTCAAACCCATTGAAGTGTAGCCCTGTTTCGGGGGGGGTTCATGTGAGATGACCGTCTTCGATTAACTACCGCTACTGACCAGTGGGTAACTTAGAAGCCCTGAGCCTCTGCTAAGTGGGAGTAAAGGGGCTGTAATCAATTGTACTGGCAGTGCCTCCACCCATCTGGGCCTTGTGATGTACAAGTGGGACCCCCAGATGAGATGACCTTGTCCCCAGATGTAGGTATTCACATGTGTCCTTTTTCAGTAGTAATGAGCTCGAGAGTTCATAGATCATGGTGGTCATCATGGATAATGGTTATAGGTAGAGATGCTAGAATACCCAAAATGCTGGTGATATAGTAGTAGATTCACTTCTAGAAAGGCATACAGATCCTAGTGGAAGGTCTATCTTCTCCCTCTTGATAGGCCAGAAGTGTTTCCATTCCCACAGAGGTTCCAGTGTATACTCTGTTTCAGGATATACAGTGGCCTGGACCAGTGGAGGTTCCTGTGGCAATCTCCAGTGTCCCCATGACCTCTGTTACCATGGGTTAGGTCCCTGTAGTGGATCCAGCAACTTCAGATGTCACATGGCATTCCATGAGGTTACATGGCACATGGCATTCCATGAGGTCCATGCCCAACACCTGAGCACCAACATCCCAACAGGGAAGTGGCAGGAACAGGACTCCCCCAGTTCTGATTATGCTCATGGGTTCTGCTATAGCCAATCCCTCCCACTATGATGCACTGATTGGCCACCACAGAATCACTGTCACATCATGCCACTCCAGCACAGTATTATGTCACAACAATGTCTGGTGGATGAAGCACATGGACAACTCATGAGCACACCCAACTGGTGGAAAGTAATAGGTAAATTTGGATACCCGACTAACACTGCTTTATTACAGTGGGTGTTAGGGGGTAGACCCCTACAGAAGTGTACACAATATTCCCTTTAGCTCGTTCTTCATTGTTAGTCTTTGATGGGCGTTATGCTTTTTATTGGAGAACAAGGTTACGGCAAAAGATTATTTCATCTAACTTATTTTACAATTACTTAGATATCCACCAATATAGAGCGTTATCTCCATTTCTTGAATACCATTATTATTAAACATTTTTAAATCTAATATAGAATGTTTCCAAATAGATTTATTAATTCTAATATAAAAGAACTATTAGAAAACACTTTTAAAATCACAATAAACTCCAATATACAGTATATACAGTATGTCACAGAAGTGAGTAACCCCTCTCATTGGATGATATCATGTCATGTAATGACACAGAAGAAATGACACGTTGCTACAATGTAAAGTAGTGAGTGTACAGCTCGTATATCAGTGTACATTTGCTGTCCCCCTCAAAATAGCTCAGCACACAGCCATTAATGTCTAAACCACTGGCAACAAAAGTGAGTACACCCCTAAGTGAAAATGTCCAAATTGGGCCCAAAGTGTCAATATTTTGTGTGACCACCATTATTTTCCAGCACGGCCTTAACCCTCTTGGGCATGGAGTTCACCAGAGCTTCACAGCTTGCCACTGGAGTCCTCTTCCACTCCTCCATGACGACATCACGGAGCTGGTGGATGTTAGAGACCTTGCGCTCCTCCACCTTCCGTTTGAGGATGCCCCACATATGCTCAATAGGGTTTAGGTCTGGAGACATGCTTGGCCAGTCCGTCACCTTTACCCTCAGCTTCTTTAGCAAGGCAGTGGTCGTCTTGGAGGTGTGTTCGGTGTAGTTATCATGTTGGAATACTGCCCTGCGTCCCAGTCTCCGAAGGGAGGGGATCATGCTCTGTTTCGGTATGTCACAGTACATGTTGGCATTCATGGTTCCCTCAATGAATTGTAGCTCCCCAGCACCGGCAGCACTCATTCAGCACCAAAGCATGACACTCCCACCACCATGCTTGACTGTAAGCAAGACACACTTGTCTTTGTACTCCTCACCTGGTTGCCACCACACACGCTTGACACCTTCTGAACCAAATAAGTTTATCTTGGTTCCAGTAATCCATGTCCTTAGTCTGCTTGTCTTCAGCAAACTGTTGCGGGCTTTCTTGTGCATCATCTTTAGAAGAGGCTTCCTTCTGAGACGACAGCCATGCAGACCAATGTGATGCAGTGTGCGGCGTATGGTCTGAGCACTGACAGGCTGATCCCCCACCCCTTCAAACTCTGCAGCAATGCTGGCAGCACTCATACGTCTATTTCCCAAAGACAACCTCTGGATATGACACTGAGCACGTGCACTCAACTTCTTTGGTCTACCATGGCGAGGCCTTTTCTGAGTGGAACCTGTCCTGTTACACCGCTGTATGGTCTTGGCCACCGTGCTGCAGCTCAGTTTCAGGGTCTTGGCAATCTTCTTATAGCCTCGGCCATCTTTATGTAGAGAAACAATTCATTTTTTCAGATCTTTAGTTGCCATGAGTTGCCATGTTGAACCTCCAGTGACCAGTATGAGAGAGTGAGAGCGATAAAAGCAAATTTAACACACCTGTTCCCCATTCACACCTGAGACCTTGTATTTTTTTGTCAGACATTAACATAGTGTAGACATAAAAAAAAAAAAGAAAACAAAAAAAGCTCAAAACGTCGCCAAGTACCAAACTAGCGCCTCACGGCACTAGGACCAGAAACAATTACTTAAGTATAAGAGTATGTTTGTACAATCAGTATGTGATGCATAGAGTTATATTAAGCATTTGCATATGTAGAAAGGGCATTATCATTAGGAAACAGATGTTTAGTACATGCTAATACCATAGAAAAATATCCAAAGAGCTACGGCTACTGGGATCTGAAGCTCAGCCAGGAGGACCAGACCAGGGAGAATTTATGATCAAGCCCTCTCCTTTGGTATGATACACATTCAAAGGCAGTAATCCTATCTAGTTCCGACATCCACTCCGATACAGTAGCCGGGGAGTGCGATATCCATTTACGAGCAATAAGTCTCCTAGCGTTAAATAGGGCTCTATGGACAGCCGTCTTTAAATTAGTAGTCAGTCTGGGGTTTCTATGCCCCCCAGCAAGCAAGCAAGTTGGAAGAGGTCAATGGAGACATCAAAAATTGAATTAATCAGTGCGACTACTTGGCCCCAATATCTGACAAGCTTGGGACATCTCCATAGTAGATGTATTAGTGAGCCCTGGTGGAATCCGCATTTCGGACAGGACGGATCATCTCGGACAGCAATCCTAACCAGAAATTCAGGTGTGCGGTATGATCTATGTAGAATGAAGAGCAGAGTGAGGTGGTGGGTTGCGGACATGGAGGTCAGGGTTACATTAGAAAGGATATCTTCCCAGAGCTCATCGTCGATGGGTCCAACATCTTGGGTCCAACATCTTGAGTCCACCTATCTCTCACTCTCTCCAATAAAGGAGAGATGGAGTTGTTCATTAAGTTGGAATATAAAAAGGAAATTATACCCTTTGTGTGGGTCGCCCGAACCACTGCATCCAGCACTGGAGTGGGGCAGATAGGAGGAGGGGTCGTCCCAAATTGAGAAACAAGCGTATGCCTG